TACTGTGATGAAGATCGATGAGCGCAGTGCACCCAAGAAGACGCCGTATGCGTCCATCCTGGATGAGGCTGATCACAGTGCGCCTTTGAAGGCAGATGAAGCTAAGGCTTTCAGGTGTGCCATCGGCATTTTGCTATATTTGGCCGTCGACCTGATCGAGTGTCAAGGGGCCATTCGTGCTCTGAGCAGCTACATGTCCTCACCCACAAGGAATGCTCAGACGGCCCTGAAGCATTTGTTGAAATATCTGCTGGATGGACAGCACCATGGGCTACTGTTGTGCCGTGACAACATCCACTGTGGCCGTTCAGGCGAGCTCTCTCCCACGACCTCACGAGCCATGTGCATCGAGTCTTACTCTGATGCCGACTGGGCAACGCACAAAGGCAACCGCCGATCTGTGAGTTCGAGCATGGTTTTCGTTTCGGGTTGCTTGCTGTATAGCAGTGCTAGGACCCAAAGGGTGATTGCTCTAAGCAGTGGTGAATCTGAACTGTTGTCAGCCACCTCGTCCTTGTGCGACGCTTTGTTCATCAGGCAACTAGTTGCTTTCCTCGCCGACTGCGACCCTCCACAGGTGCATCACTTCACAGATGCCACTGCAGCTAAGTCCATGATGGAGCGCAGTGGAGTGGGCAGAGTGCGCCACCTTTCGGTGCGCGTACTGTGGACCCAGCAGCTTGTGGCCGACAAGGTCATAACACTGCATAAGGTTGACACCTGCAGAAACGTGGCAGACCTCAACACTAAGGCTTTGCCAAGGCACAGGATGATGATGCTGCTCAACCTTCTCGGCGGTTGGGACACCCTGCGTGACGAGCCCATAGGGTTGAACGACATTACCGAGTTTGAGTACAAGCAGGCCATGAAGCAGGCCGTTCGTGCCGTTCGAACAACGACTCCAAGTCCGGTGAACAAACAAGTTCTGCAGGGCATCGTGCTCGCCGTTGCAAGCGCCTTGGGCAGGGCCACGGACATCCCAGATGGAGACGGCGACTCGAGTGGTCACGACATCGAGCTCCCCCAGTGGGCTAACCGAATCCTTGTCTGGGTGTTGGGCCTGTGGGTACGTGATGACTCAGGTGTGTCGATCATTGACATGCTTGCCCCACATGCTGCAACCATCCTTTGCATATGCATTTTGATTCTGTTTGTGGCAATGTGCTTTCGCGTTTGGTGTGCAAGGTCCCCTTCCAGGCAGGTGCAAGTACAGGTGTCAGACCAGCGGCAGCATGGTGCCGTTTCTGTGAAGTTTGACCAGAACCTCAATGTGCACGTTGGTGTTGCAGCGCCTGGAACGCCAGCCAATCCTTTGGCTGTGGACTCCGATGACAATGCCGTGAGCCCGCCACATGTGCTGCATGCGATCCGCAAAGGTGCTAGGTCGAAGGCATCTGCAAGGCCAGGTCCGCGGTGCGATGAGCCAGCGTCTTCCAGCGACGCCCCCGCGAGATTTGTGCCGCCTCCTCCAGAACCTTTTGTTCGAGCGCCAAGTGCAGCGCCGCCTACGCCAGAGGGTTCAGTTGGATCGACGGGATCGTTCAGGGAGGCGCATGGTTACCAGGTTGCAGTTGCCCGCAGGTTGGAGCATCCCCAGGATGCAGTGTGGGTCAGCACTTATGGCCGGTGCTACCATCGACTACGATGCTTCAAGCTTGATGGGTGTGATCGCATCAAGCGAGTTCCTCTTGCAGACGCCGTTGCGCGAGGCTATAGGCCATGCAAGAAGTGTGCACCTTGAAAAGTGGCTAACCGTGAGACAGTCTTTTGAGAACTTCTTGAAATGTTCATGATGCGATGTGCTCATGGTGTCAACATTCTGCATGTTGATACCATGGTGCATCTTGTACATACGCCTTTTAGGTAGCTTGGATGCTCATGTTGCTCGGCCTCAGGGCCTGCGTCACTTGGCGTTATCTTCTCTTGAACATTTTGCTTGCACGTTTTCTTGTGACTGTGTGCATATGGTGCACCCTGCACCATCAATCCCAGATGATGCGCGCCATTTTGGCGAGACCGATTTCGTGTGCACTACACGTGCACTGCCGAACCAGTGATGC